ATTTTTGAACGTATTTAGTGCATGCTATAAAACGCAATAATAAAAATAAATAAAAACTAACATTGTTATAAATTTTGTTATGACACAATAAACAGCAATTTTTTATTATCTCTACGTCACTATTAGATTACCTGATTTCCCATATATATGTACAGTACATCGGAAAAAATGCTTTCCTTTGATGAGCGACAACCATTAAACATTATATATTTCGTATATATTTTGTACAGCAAAAACTTTATTTTGTTGTTAGCTAACAATAACAAAATGAAATATTTCATGGAACCAAAAAGAATCTATTTGTTTTTATAGTTTAAACTAAGAAATAGACATACATTTTAATCGCAAACGACAAAAAAAAAATGCCTTGACTTGCGATAAGTTATGGTTTCCACTATTTCAAATGAGATAATGTTTTTTTTGGCGTCAATGCCAATAGTACACCAAAAATTTGATATCACAAATTGCGCAAATAACACTTGCTACAATAATAAATAGTAAAGATATACAACTCATTTGTTACCGATGTTTTACTTGACGGATCACGTCTGAACTTTTTCAACTTCGGCTTTCGCTTCTTCCCAATTACTTAGATTCTTATTTTTAATATAATATAGAATAAACCTTTAATTAAATGTTCATATTATATTTTTCTTTTACATGATTTAGTAGAGTGATAACAAACCTCTTTACACCACTTAACATGATTTTTAGCATAGGAGATCAACATGTTTCTCAAATCTACAACCTTTTGTCGCTGAAAGCGGTCAAGGTCATCTTGAATAGATACAGATATTTTCTTTAGGTCTTCAGTCGTAGTTTCCAAAGCTTCTTCTAACTAATATTAATAATTATTAAAATTAACATAAATAAGTATCAATATTACGGAATGAATATTAACCTGAATGATTGATTCGCGAGTTTTGCCAATGCTATTTCTACGGGCAGCTTCCGGATCTACATCCATTATACCATGAATAGTATGACTTAATACGGAAAAGATCTTCGAACCGCTGAGTTTTTTATGGTGTCCACTTCCAGTAGGTGATGAAACATCACCATTTTGGAATTGTTCTTCATAATGACCATTTTCGGAGTTATAATTATCTTCATTCGTTTGAAATATCGAGGCTGGATTAACGCGTTCATTACTCAAAACCTCTACTTATGTGGCTACGGGAAAACTGGTAAATTAGTATTTTTATGCTTAAATTTATTTGAATTCTCAATAAC